CCCCTCCTCCCTACATTCTTTTCTACTGTAATACTTGATTAGTTTTCTCATTTTATATTTTACTTACAACTAAAATAATGCAATATTTTTTTTACTAAATTATAATTTTGAATTCATCAAACGTATAAAGAGATAAGCCTCCTTATATAAATAATTGTTATTTTGTGTTATATAAATATTTTTAATAATTGTTATTTTGTGTTATATAAATAATATCCTTATATATAAATATCCTAATGTTATCTTTATATTTTTGTTATTTTTCAATATGCAATTATGAGTTTATTTAATAACTAAAATTTCTTAATATGAGAAATTTAATTAATATATACATTTTAACGCTATCGTTTGGAATTTTTTTTAACTTTTTTAATGTTCTTCATTTATGACTCTTTGTTTATTATGACTTTAGTTATATGTATATATATAATTTTTCTCATCATACTTCTAATAATAATAATTATATTTCTATATTTTTCTTGAAATTTATAGATACAAAAGAGAAGGAGAATTTAGTTTAATTGAATATCATATAATGAATATAGTTTTGTATAATGAATAGTATTAGTTTTTGTTCTATACTATTTTAATTTTTTTGCCATTTAGTATTTATCTATAGTACAAGTATTGTCATATTATTTTTTAAATGGGTGATGCTGAATTAGTTCAAAGTTTAAACTGATTTTTTTTTATTATATGTCATAAATCTAATAATAATTGTTATAATTATTGTTTTAGTATTACTTTCAATAAGTAATTAAATTAGATTCTCCTTCCCTTTTATGTTTAATATGAAAGTTTGACTTTTAATTTTTCATTGAGGATTTGAGGTTACTATATAAGAATTTAAATTATATTTTTATATTTTTATTTATTTTTTAGAACTATGTCAATTGTCTATGTTTTTATTTTAGTTTTATCTATTATAATAGGCTGAATACATACACAGCCCCTCAAACTTGTCTCATATTTCCACCTAGACACTTATACTGAGACTTGTACCTATTAGGCACTTGATCTCTATTAAAACTGTACCCATTAAACACCTTGCAGACAATAAACTGAAGATATAAAATGCGTGGATTACACGCTGCTGATGTGGAGAAAATCACCAATCATAAAAGGACACATCAGAAGGAAAAAAGGAAAAAAAGAAGAAAAACATGGAGATTGGAGACAACTGTCTCCTTCTTCACGCCACCGAACTCCTCCATTGTAGACACCCACTGAACTCCACCTTCAGAATCCACACAACACCATCAAATTTCTCTGTCTTCCATTTTCAAATATCATAACAAGAAAGAGTACACGATTATTTTTGGTAGCTTTCCTTCCGTTAATCTTGTTTAAGGCATAGTTCCAAGTTTGATTTTAAGCCTCTGATTATCGGTTGACTAGAAAATTGATCTGAAACGTTACTGAGATAGAATTTCGACTTGTAACATTGTGGTTACGAGTTTGGAGGTGAAAATTTTCAAGGAAAAAAACCCTGCAGTGTTGGGAATTGAGTCGAAGATTCGAATGGTGGAAATTCATTCAAAAATTAAATTGAAGCTGGGAAAATTGATTGGAGCTTTTTCTTGCTTGGAAATCGAGATATGTGCTGATTTTGGAAGGCTTGGGGACCTATATATTCGGAAAAATTTCATTGTCCATATCCAGCTGCAGTCAGCTATTGTCGGTATTTGGCGATGACTCCGGTAAAGGTTCTCCTGTAGTGCTTCAGTGCTGCCACTGCAGTCATCTGCTAATACAGAGAAGATAGAGATTAGGTAGAAGGGTTAGGGTAGTGTTTGATATGGTGTGAAGGTAGTGGTGCTAATGGTATATGATGATGGCGGTGGTGAAGTTGGTGGCGAAGGGAGAGGTAAAAAGAAAAAAATCAAAAAATTAAAAGTTATGGCATTCCACGCTCCAAAAATCTGTGTTATGCACGTACTATGCCATCTCAGCAAATTATGCCTAATAAGACAGTTTCAATAGAGATTAAGTGTCCAATAGGTACAAGCTTTAGTTTAAGTGTCTAGGTGAAAATATGGGACAAGTTTGAGGGGCTGCATATGTATTCAGCCATTATAATATTTTCTGATCTTATCCATATAGCATGACCATATGAATTATTATTCGGAAAAAAATCATCTTAAAAATCAAATAAGCCTTATTCTTTTATATATATATATATATGTATATATATATATATATGTGTGTGTGTATATATATGTGTGTGTGTGTGTGTGTGTGTGTATATATATATCTATACTGAAATTATTTGTTACATATTTTTCCTCCTTTTTTAGTTCCTTGTCCATGTTAATAAGTTCAACCATAACTTAAAATTGTTCATATATCATTGTCCGCTATTCCTATCATTATTTCTTCATTTTTCTTTCTACTTTATGCTCTTTATAGGGATTATTTCTAGTTTGCAGGGAAAAGGAGTGAAGAACTATCTTTCTTTATACGTGCCTTCAGTTCTTTTAGATTGGATATTTGATGAAATGCCTTTTTGTCTGCTAGGTTTAGGTAAAGTTGAAATGTCTACACCATTCCATTCACCGCAGGTACATCGCAGGTAATTGTACAATATGCATCAAGAATAACAGAACATGAATGATAATTTTGCAAATACTATCTTTGCGAGATTTTATGACAACCAAAAAGGGATAAATGGCTTCCTCCTGAATAAGTAGTAGTTAGGAGTACCTTTGGAAGTCAAGATTATGGATAGGTTTCAAATTTAAAACCGGCTGTGAAAGCTGCCTCTACCAGTTTTATTGACTGGAAACAACGTCTGCATATTTGGACAGTTTTGAGGAGATCATCTGGCTGTTAACAGATCATCATAGATGATAAAATTGTATGCTTGAACCAAGTCCTCTTTGCCACTGACATAAAGCTTCCGTAAACAGAGGATGATGCATTAATGTTATGGATGTAGTTTAAAGTAATGTTGCATCCAGCATGAAGGAACTCCAGATTCCAGTAGAGGTTCTTAAGTATTTCCAGATGAGCAAATCCTTGATAATGCTCACTTGGTAAGCTGAGGTAATCTAGCCACTGGAAAGTGCTCTGAGTCCCTCTATGGGATACACAGTGTGCTTAAGGGTTATGTATTTTAAAATCAAAGCCATAGATATATGTTCAATCAATGCATGCATACCTCATGCTTATATTACATTTTGGAATACTAGAGAGGATTCTTTGCAAGTACTAGACACCTGATTGATTCTCAGGTTGCAGTATTTGGATGCACCAACGTTCAATGGAAAAGTCAATCTAACATAGGACCTTAAATTGGCATACTTAATAGTCTAGCTCTTCATGCTTCAATAAGCTGATTCATGGACACATTTTATGCTTTATCGCTATCACCACACAGAGTTGCATGGAAATCTTTGAAGTAGCTCCTGCTAAATGCTGCTTTATGTTGCATGACTACAGACCCTTATCATGTGGTAGGTCCTCACCCCCAAGGGCTAGGAGAAAAGCTCATTCATTTGACTACCTTAACAGAGGGACAAATGGCATTGAGCGTGAATTGGTGAGAGCACTTCCTGATGCTATTTTCATTCAGTTACGGTTGCTAGCTCACTGCATGTTTTATGACCAGCACTTCCTCTCTGAGTTTATCTCCTTCTACCTTTATTAGTCTCTCCTTTCCATGGGATGTTGGACCATTACCTGTATAAATCTTAGTGCTTCTATTACTTCATTTCCCATAATTGTAAGCTTACTGCTGTATTTCTTTCTAGCTTCACTTTTTGTCTGGTGTGAGTAGTTAGGATAAATGTTTTCTTGATGAAAAAGCAGGAATTTGGCTTTTATGAGCATATGCCTATTTGTCTACAGTTATATAAACTCTACTCCAGATCTCATGCTTAAACCAATATGTAACCATCATATCAACCTGTTTTGAAACATAGCACTCATGCCCTATCTCCACTTTCTGTCACTATCATATCTCACGTATCTTCATATCCAACCAAACACATAAAAATGATTTAGGAAATAGTTTTCAAGGTTCTATAATAACCTTATGCCACACCAAACACCCCCCCCCCCCCCCCCCATCATCTACTATACCTTATGGTATCAAACGGGTGTAGGCTTTACCGATGGTTAAGTAAACCGAGTTCCAGGCTTCCAACAACTTTATGTTTCCTTTTAGTTTCAGTATGTCTAGTTTTTAAATGGTGGACATGCCTCAGCTGTATCTTAAATTCTACAGATTCCGTGTTTATTGCTTCACTTGATATGTACAGCGATTTTTTATGCTCTTGATCTTGAAAAATGAGGAAATACCTTTATTCTATTCCATTCCATCATATTTTCGATATAGGCATGTTTTTTTTTTTAAAATAAACCCCTCACCGTATGAAAAGAAAAACAAAAAAACAGTTGGTTATTTGTAGCAGTGTCTGGGCTTCTGGCAATGCAGATGTCCTTCCATTATACCTGCCCTAATTGGTTGTGTGGACGCACCACAGGATAGCATGATGGTGGACGTAGAACTACCTTTTTGTACGAGTCCTTTAAACAGATCCTCTTGCTCCAGGGGAACAGCAGATTTACGTGGCAGCACGGAACAGGAGTTACTAGATACCAAATGGTTCTCCTCTAGTGATAACAATTTCACTGATCTGTACACTTTTGAGAATGAAGAAATCTTCGGCAAAAGCAAGGAGAGTTCAAACACAATTTGGAATGGTAGGGTCCTTAATGTCTTCTCATCTTTTCTGGCTTCTATGTTAACATTTCCATAGTGGAGTTGAGTTGGTTTCTTGAGTATCTTTTTTATTAGGGTAAATCGCTCTTCATTTTTAGTGGAAAAAATGTATAATTTAACTTTGAAATTCTTTAGTGGCGCTTGCTTTGAAATTTGCAAACTCAGTTTTAGGAAAAAATCTGTTTGAACTATTGGACAAAAAAAATTCCAAGAATTTTACAAGCTAAAATGAACATCACATTAACAACATGGTAACTTGTCCAGACGTTTACGTTTTCATACATATATCTTTTGAAAACTTGAATATCCGGCATTATATTTGACAGTTCACGAATACTAATCATGTTTCTGCCAAGAGGCATGCAGAATTAATACTTGTAGCACAGAGTTCAAATTTGAAGAAGTGCTTTTGAAGTTGCTTAAAATTTTCACACTTTTTTGCACTTCCACATCTTCTAAGGTTTTGATTCGTTTAACAAGTGGCATAACTACACCGTCTTTTATGTTGCATCCAGCAGATTCCAGCTTTCATGAAGATTGTGGTTCACCACGCAGGAGCTACTTATATCATTTTGATGCTAGTTCCTCTGATTTTTGGAATAACCAAAGTTGTGGGATGCAAGAATTCAACTTTGAGGACTGTTATTATGGGAGTTCATCCAATTCTTTTAGTGCCAGAAATTATAGGAAGCAAGGCAGTTATGCTGATGACTTGTATCATCAGAAGCAAAGGTTTCTCATATGGTACTTCAATTCCTAATTTGACGGTATTTTTTGTTCTATACTGAGCGCGTCTTGTCCTTGCAGGATCAGAACGAGAGCCAAATCAGAATTCAACATAATAGGTGCTTTACACTTCTGCTATCGGAGATGCTCTTTAAAAAGCTGTACACTATGATCATTTTAGTTGTTTTGCTTCTCGAGTTTTGATTAGAAGGTCAAGTTTGAAAACTATGAAGAACTGTTCAATATGGGGAACTAAAATGTAGTGTTATTGAATTGTTATTCGGACAATACTGAGAGTATAGCTTGGTCCAATATGTCGCATTTTCTGTGGTTATCACGTGTTAATCTCACTCAAACAGATTCACCTACTCCCTATTCCAAGCACTGTAAACCAGAGATTATCAGAGATTTCAGTGTCTCAAATGGAGAATGGTAAGCACATTTTTCTGTATATGTGTGAGGGGGGGGGGNGTAGATGTGTGAGGGGGGTTTTTTGGTTGGTTAAAACTCTTTTATTTCTGGCTGGCAGGTTTTCCATGGGATGTACAAATCCTCATTTTATGGATTATATAGACCATGCTGAGGGGACGCGGTTTGCAAATGAAGATGCAAGGGACAATTCAAGTTTATTGAGGTTGCCATTTGAAGTTCTTTCAGTTTACTGATCTCTCTTCTGAGCCTTTCAATTACTAATGAACTGATCCAGTTTTGTTCTCATGGACATACTGGCTTCTATTCAGCGAAGAATCATCTTCGTCCACTGCAGGTCAATGTCGTTTGTACTTATTGCCTTATTGACTTGAGCAATATAATCAGTTTATTTTTTTCTTTCTCATCCAGTGGTGGGTGGCTTAGACAGACAACAAAAGATGAACTCAAATAATAAAAGGAGAAGCCAGGATATATCCGATTGGAGCAAGGAGACCAAGTTGTGTGAGAAGTTATTTGCTAAGGGAAAAAACTGCAACAGGAATGATATTCAGCAAGGGAAAGATATGGATGAGCCAACGGAGTTATCATGGCCACTGAACCAGTCAAGTGCAAAGGCAGCTCATTACCATCCTGCTTTCTATGAGAAGAGGTCAGACCTGAACAATGATGGACTGAGGGAGGCTAGAATTGATCCAGGAGAGCCAAATTCAAGATCCAGATCTTTCTTCCAAACTTCAAGGTCCAAAAAACATGTATCCACATGTTCAGACTTATCGATTGGAGATGCCCTTAGTGACCAGGAGCCTAAGTTACACACTGACCAACCGAACCTCAAAGGGTCTATCAAATATCCTGGTGAATATGCTTCCTCATGTTTTATGTCTGAACCAATGATTTTTGAACTAGATAGCCCCAGGTGCGCCTACCAGAACTTGTTTCAGGACCCCAAGAAGGGCTGTGGGTCTGAGGATTCATTGCATGTTCTTGGTTCCCGGGGCACAGTTACAGGAAGTGTTGTAAGAGATGTAGGTACGAGACCTGATTTCCTGAGAGGTGGAGATAAAGGTGTTGATATGCAGGCATTTGATAGCAGGCAAGTTGACCCAAAAACTGAAGTTTCTGGCCGGTGCAAGGGTTTGTCTTCAGGAAAGGAGAAGTCATTGGATGGATCAGGTTCTGTCAATAAGTGTAGTGTCTGTGAGGAACCAAAAGAAAAAACTCCAGAAGTGGACAGGACAAGATTGTTTAACTATTCTGAACGTGCAGAAGAAACATCTTCATCTGTAGAGATATCCACTGTATTGAAGGGGAATCAAGACAGTTCAGATAAAAATCAGGACAGTTCCAATAAAAATCATGACACTCAATCTGCACTTAGATTTCAAGCAGGAGATGGAGGTAGAAATTCTCTTTTTTGATCCTGATCTTTAGATGCGTCTTATGAGAATAAAAAATGTTTTTGTGCTTTGCCAGTTACAGAAGCAGACAGCAGGTCTCCAGTTACAGAAGCAGACCGCCAGTTACAAAGTCCCAGTGTTCCCCAAAATGGTCAGGTTATGATGCTTGAAGCTGTGTCCTTCAATTTTTACATGTGCAGTTTTTGAAGGAAGCACAAGCATAAAGAACTTAGACAACGGTACAATACTCTTATCAAGTTTAACTAGATAAACATTCTAATTCAAATAGTTTGGTCTTTTAGCATTTGATGGTCATGTGTTTTCGCTACAGTTTACACGCAAGCTATTTTGTGTTCTAGTGATGCATGACTGCTATGACTATTTAACGTTTAGAACCAGATTTATGTTCAGTTTTGATGCATGTGCGACATATTTGGTGTTTGGTAGAGAGCACGTGCTTTTTAGCAGAAGTAAATTGGGAAAAATAAGAGGGACTGATGGGATCGTTTCAAAATAGCTAATAAAAAATTAGATAAAGAACGATGATGTCACAGTGTTTTTACTTTCCCTTGAATCAATAGTCAATATTCCCTAGTGGCAGTCAAAATTTCTGGTCCCTTTTTCCTTTAGCTTTCCTCTTGTGTCTTCTGCATCTTCGAGCCACTGGATACTCTATTTATTTAACTGACTAAAGTAAATAATGTCAAATGCCTGCTATTAATGCACGCTAAGAGGCATACTGAGATAATGCCGATCAAGCTATATATGGTCTATTCTAGCCTGTATGCTTTTATCGTCTGAATAGTCTTAAAAAGATAGAGATGTAAGTTATAAAAGAAAATCCTACTATCTTCATTTAAATAATAGAAGAGGCTCGTATTCTGTTTCTTGCTTCGGTTTTTAAAATTTTTAAACAGTTCTTATAATTTCAGAAAACTTTTCCAGGGATTCATTCAACACTGCTCCATTAGGCTTTTTTTTCCTCGTCCCTGTTATATGACGAAACGAGTAACATTATAATGAGACTTTTAAAATTAGAACTTGCAACTTCATTACAGATGGAGTAAAAGAGGAAGTAAGAGAACATCCATTTCAAAAACAATAATCACACACAAAATAAAGGAGGAACATTAGATTTGTTACCTTTGTATGAGGAGGTAGTGAGTAGCCTCTCAATGATTTTCCGGTCCACCAAATTGTCATCCAGAGCCAAAACATGCGGTTTCTCTTCATCGTCGATCACCATTGACAATGAAGATGAGGAAAAAGCCATTTTTCTTCTCTGCATAATGAAAGCAACCCAAATACTTTGGAAAAAGAGAGGAAATACAATAAAACAAAAAAAGACACAACAAACGATATGCAAATGAAATATAATATCCTTCTCAAGGACAACGTCGAAGGTACAATTTGTCAGTATATGGGTTTGTGAGATAGGTCTGAGGAACAAAAAGAGAAGGGTGTGCAGTTATTTCTTAGGGAGTGTCAACAAAAAAAAAAAGATGCTACCTTTGGGAACTTGATATACAGAAGACAGTGGCATACAGAAGACTTTTTGTAACAAATGTCAACATTTGAAGAAGTAAATGAATAAATTATTATAATAATAAATTTTATTTTACTTGATTTATATGTATAAAATCAGTAAAAAATTTGGCGAAGCGATGTCATATGACACAGCTTGAGCCCATGTATATCCGCCCCTGTCCAGAAACTGATGAAGACAGAGAAAAGTCTTTGTCGTATATTTAACGTGAATAATGAATCGAATATAGCGGCTATAAGAAAGTTGAAATTTTTGGAGGTTTTCTTTTACAAGCAGAGTAATCAAACTAAAGTTAGAAATGAAAAAATTAAGACCACAGTGGACAATCATTGTTACGATTGTTCCTTTTTTTGTCGATTGTATTAATATATGTAACTTTGATTTCATCTTTGGTAACAATTGGGAGTTTGAGTATCTATTTCTCCTGTCAAATCATGACAACTAAGGATTGCTGGTAAGAATTACTCTTCAATTACCATGAAAGCGTGTACGTATGTTTATAGTATTGTGAACTACACCTAGTTTGCTGGAGAGAGACAATGCAGAGAAGCACTTTTCGAAGAGAGTGAAAGAAATCTCCCTAACTCAGAAAGGTCCAGACTGCACTGAAGAACAAATTGCACAACCCAAGAAAGACTAAAAGAAAATCATGTATTGATCCAGATAAATCTATTTTTTATTAAAAAATCAAAAACGAAGAATTTTATGACTTTATTGACCTGACCAGAAAAAAAGAAGTTTTTCAATTTTTTATGATACTTCTAAGTGTGGACTTATTCTTGTTTATCCTTATTAATTAAAACCTTAACAAAGTTAAGGGTTTATCCTTGTTTTTCTTTGTCAAATTGGTAATTGGTGGTTGCTATGACGTTTCAAAGTTAAAGATTTGGTAAGACAAGTTGCTATGGAATAAATTGATTCTCTCGTCCCAATTAATGATGTTTGTTCTTTTTTGGTCTGTCCAGAATATTATGAGACTTTTTTATATTTAGAAATAATTTAATTTTATAAATATTATTAATTTCTCGATAGGATAATCTATAGCCACATAAATATTTATGTTTTTTAGACTATAAATTTCAATTTCCCCCCTTAAATTCCGTACCCAATAAAACGACATCCTTACATTTTGGACGGAGGGAGTGATAAGTAGTTACTATTAGCAATATATACTAAATAGAGTTATCGAGGAATCTTTCTCCCTTTGTCCCAATTTGTGTGATCTCCTTTTCTTTTTAGTCTGCCAAAAAGATATGACATATTTTTATATTTAGTAATAATTTAATTTTAAAATGTTCATTCTACTCTTAATGAAATAATTTATTATCGCATAAATATTTATGGCTTATTTAGACCACAAGTTTTAAAAGTTTTTTCTTTCGTAAATTTTTATTTTTAGTCAAACATCATCACATAAATTGGAGTGGAAGGAGTATATGCTACTTCATCCGTCTCAAATTATCTGTTGTGTTTTTCTTTTACACGCTCCTTAAGAAACATTAAACTATTTCACCCTTATTTATGCCTTAAGATATGATCTATCTTCATTAAATATTTATTCTATTTCTATGTTGTATCTCCTTTTCAAGAACAATTACTATTACGGGTAAAATAGGAAAAATATAATTTATTTTGTCTTGAACTTCTAAAATGACAAATAATTTGAAATAACTATATTTAGAAATCACGACAGATAATTTGGAACGGAAGAAGTATTAGTCACATCCTTGTATTATCCAAAATTTGTATTATATTGACTCTTAACTCCAACTGACTGATCTATGGTCATGTTCATGTACATGACTTTATATGTTGGTCACAATTAGGGATGGCAAAGTGGTTAAAGAAAATAGTTAACTACCCATATTATCCATTAAAAAATGGGTTGGATAATGAACTTTTTTTAAACGGGTCAAATATGAATAAGAACCATATGGATAGCTAATGAGTTTAACTTTTACATTTGTAAAACCTCAAATTGAGGGTGTCTCGAGTTTGGGAGATTAGGTTCTTTCAAAAGTGATCATATTCGTGAAGCCATGGATAATATGGTTACCCATATTATCCGCCGGTTAACCTATTTTTTATCCATATTAAATATCGACCCGCTCGGATAATTTGTCTGTTTTTTCATTACCTATTTTCGACCCGTCCCATATCCGCCCCGCCCCGCCCCGCCCGCTTACCACTCCTAGTCACAATGTGTTTCATGATTGTTAGCGTGTAATGAAGAAATGTGGACATCCCTTCTTTCTAAAGTTTGTCCACTCAAATCAACATGCTTTTAAGCTTTTATTATTTCTACTGCTTGCTTTTACATATTTCATTATTATGGTTCATCATGTTGTTAATCCCACAGTTCAAAGTCAAAACCCCACACAGAAAATCCCTTTTCACTTTGCATTTTATATGAGTAAGCTTATGTACTGACAGTGATAAGTTCTTTACCCGACTTACAACAACTGATAAAAAAGGCAGTCTGGTGCAATAAGCTATCGTTACGTGCGAGATTCAGGGAAAGACTGGACTACAAGGGTCTATAGTAAGCAGTCTTACACTATATTTCTGCAATAAGTTGTTTCCACAGCTTGAACTCGTGATCTTCTGATGATATGGAAGCAACTTTACTAGTTACGCCAAGGCTCTCCTTCGGCCAAGGCTCCCCTTCTTACAACAACATATAAATGTCTGTAATAAACATAGTTTACTCATCTAAACGATAAAGTAAGTAACCTGTTTTTAAGGGTGATCCTCCCGATAAACTGATCGTACCCCGAATCAATAGGGAAGCTTAAGAGAATCATGTTGAATAAACTCGGCAAAATGACCATGTAAATTCGGGAGTAGAGGTGTTCTCCTATCTTTTGATTAGGAAAGCGGCACATACTAGGGGGACTTTCTGAATCTCTAATGTTCAAAAAAGAAAATTAGAACAGAGGGAAAAGAATAGGAAAAGGAAAGAAGTCTCATTTATAGAGCAGAGAGAACAAATTAATGGTCAGCATTTAACTATATCTTCCTTGGCCTAAGCACAATTGTATCAGTACAAAAAACTTCAAAAAGATGTTCAGCTTACAAAAAGAATTAAATCTAAAAATTAAATTCAAATATCATGAGAATTATAGTCATGTTCAATAGTTGGAACAGTTCTAGTACCAGCTGCAGTTGGAGCTCTCACATGTCCAACCATAGAAACTTGTAAAGCTTCTTCTTCATATGCTCTTCTAACCAATTCCTCCATTCTTGCTTTCTTCTTCACCTTCACAAATATTGCAATCAGTAGCAAACCTAAAAGGAACGCGCCCAACGCAGCTCCAATCGCGCTCCCAATGGCTAATTTCCAATTACTTGCCCTTTTATTTTTCAATGGCATTAGAGGTGACTCAATAACCAAACCAAAATGTCCTTGTTTTTTAGCAGCACAAACATTTTGTGACACTTGTTTTGTTAGTGTCACCTTTCCGTCGCGCTCAAAGCTAGCACATAATGGTATTATCCCTGATTTACTAGTATCATTTACTAGCTTTATTGTGTTGCTAAAATCAATTGTGATTGGAATTTTATCAGATTGAATTGTAAGTTCAAAAGGGGTTGTAGATGTTACCATATCATCACCAGCATTGTATGCTAATAGGCCTAAAACAGGTGAAATGAGTTGATAACCTGATAATTCATAATTGTCATAGTATATAGAAGACCAATTGGATCCAAGATTTTGTCTAAGTATGAGAACTCTTTCAACACAATGTTGGATACTTACCCCAATAGGTAATTTGAATTCTTTGATTTTGGCACCATATCTTGTTAAACTGCCACATCGATATCTAACTGAATCGACTCTGATCCCTGTAAGGTTGGCTGGTAAATGTATCGCGTACAATTTTGCTGTTCTGAAGTTCTTGCTATTGTAAGATCGAAACGTGTAGTCTCTGAGGACTAAATCAAGAAGTCGTGCTGATTTTATGGCTTGTCCTTGACTTGAAAGAGTCGCGGTGAATGCCAATGAAAGTAATATCAAATATAGATAAAGAAGTGAGCCCATCTGAAGAAGGAATTGCCTAATGAAGTACAGATTCTTGTGTTTTTTCTAGCATTGATCATCAAAAAGAAAATAGAGAGGCTATTTTTGCACTTGACAATGGAAAATAGGATGGAGATGATGGGCTTTCTTAGGGCCAGAGAGAAAGATGGAGAAAAGAGAAAGTACTATGTGATGTTTCTTTCATAATAGTATGTGTTTTTCAGGCAATATAAGTCTATAGTAGTGTGTTTCTTTCTTTTCTTTTCCTTTTTCCACTTCTCCCCATTCTTAGCTAGACTAGGGGCCATAATCTTGAAATAAAGTTTCTATTCCAACCGTTTCAATTTATGTGAACATATTTTCTTTTTACTCCGTGTAAAAAATAATGATCATTTTTTATATTTGGAAATAATTTACCTTTATGCAATGATTTATAGTCACACAAATATAAGTGTCTCATTTTATACCACAAGTTCAAAAACCTTTTTTTTTTACCTCTGTGCCCAATCAAATATATTTGCATGAATTAAAACATAAAGAGTATTTTAATAAAGGTATACTTTGTGGCGAAGTTTTGACTAACTTTAGTTTTCTTTTCTTTCTTTCAAACTTTTGAGGGAGTATGAGCTGTTACTTTAACATGTAAATTTGAAAGTAATGCAACTTTTCAAATTATCTTTGTGGGTTGAAATATAGTGTAAGAATAGAGAGGAGGGGTGTGTGGTTGGGGGGGGGGGGGGGGTGTGGAGTCAGGTGACAAAGGCTGGAGGAATGATTTTGGAGGTGTGGATATGATGATGGCAATTCATGTCAAAAAAGGGAAACCCCAAAAGAAAGAGGCGTGCTTAATGAGTGAGATGAAGGGCAACTAGACAAAAGTCTCTTTGTGTTACCTTATGGCATTAAAATATTCTATCTTTTGGTTTCATTACATGTCTCCTGGGGCGGATTTAGAGTGCGGAAGGGGTTCGGGTACTGCATTGTATATATAAAGTAAAATCTATTTTATATATCTATATATTATATTTTAAATCCGTATTCCATAGCCTAAACGCATATAGCTCAGTAATCATGAGGTTGCTGGTTCAATTTCCACTGATCATAGTGTCCCACTCCAATGAATAATTTTTTATCGTGGCAAGGAACTTCTATTCTTTCAAAAAAAAAAAAAAAAAAAAAAAATTTCAAGTCTGAGCTTGTCTTGAATCTATCGCAGAGCTCTTGACTTAGTTATTTAGGTTCCGGTATTTCATCTCATGTTGTAAGTTTTTATTTTAAGAATATGGTGCATGTTTATCAGAACTGTCAAAATGGGTCAGCCCAGCACAACTTAGCCCAAGTCTCGCAGGCTTTTCAATTCGGTGGATTAGGACGGGCCGACCCTCCATCTAAATGGGCCTTAAAATGACAAGCCCAACCCAATCCTAAGAAGGCCGGGGACTAGGATGGGCTGGCCCTTCAATTTATTTTTAGAATTATTTTTCCCTAAATCTTTAAATATTTCTTCATACATAGTTTCTTAATCATATGAACAACTTCTGTTTGTTTAGAGCGTACAAGAATCTTGATATTTGACAAGGAATCTCGTAATTGAAATGCAAATTCTATATCTCTGACTCTTCTTTTTTTAATGTTACATGAATATTTTTTTTAATACTTTTCTTTCACTTTCCTCATGTTCAAGGATTGTTTCAATAAGTTTATATGTGAGATTTTTTAATTTAAATTTAATATCATTTGCTGATTTTATCATTATAGTCCATAGAATTTTTAAAATTCATGAAATTGGCTAGTGTTATCAATTTTCTATGGGTATTAAAACTTGATCTTTTTCTAAAGTGAAGAACAGTTTAATTATTAATAATATATTAAAGTAACCAAATTAATCATTGGTCATTAAAGTAATATTTTCTGCAAATTTTTTTTTGCCACTTAAAATTTTCCTATTTCGTTGTTAATTAAGCAAGAGCAAAACTAATCTTGTCATACTACATGCATATTAAAAATCTAAATTCTAGTTGATATGGACGGGTCAATGAGCAATTTAAGGTTAAGGAATATAGTTAATAATCTTTTAAGTTTGTAGTTTATATTTTTTTTTAAATATTAAATATTTAAATTTGAATTTAATTAATTTTTGGCCCACGGGCCGGCCCAGACCCGGCCTCGGTCAAGCCTTAAGGGCTAGCGGGCTAACTTGGGCCGAGCTTATAAGCCTCAGTTTTAGATGGGCTAAAAAAATCTCAACCTAATCCTACCCAAGTAGCAGGCTGGGTTGAGCTTGTCTCGGGCCAAGCCCATTTTGACAGCTCTAATGTTTATTTCTCGACTACTAGTTCAAGCTTAAGGTATAATAAATCGAGTTACGAGACAGTGATTTTGTATGTAAATTCTTATGTACTACAAATACATGATTAGATCCTCAAGTATTTTAAATGATATTTGACTTTTATTATTGATACATTTAATGTATAAGAAGATAATCTTTCTGAGCGCGGGGGGAATTAGATAATTAAGCTTGATTTTGTTTCTCAATTCTCATGCATCTCAATCTAAAGTATTTAATAATTTTCCTTGATAAGTTCCTAGTGACTTCTTGAGAAGATAGAACCCCATGGTTATGATTAGAGGAGATAAAAAGATAGAATATTCGTCCATATTATAGCTATAATTTGCTTTCGTTAGCTATGAGATAAATGAATGTCTTTATTTTTCACTAATTGGACTGCTACGTACGGCATCTAAGCATACGAAAAAGTTAGCCATGCAAAACTCGAAAAAAAAAGTATAGGAACAATGATCATATTATTGTTCTATTTCAGCATTACAAGAAATGTACATTCCTTTCAGCAGTGAAAGACTATGTACAAGATAGCAAAAATAAAACTTAAAAGACTGCATTAAAATATATCTACAGCAAGACTTTTGTAGGAAGAAGACCGTAGCACCACTCCTTTAAGGGCGCCTAGATAGTAAAAGGGGAAGAAAAGGGATAGCGAAGACGGGCAGAAGGCTTGGAAGGAAATTTTTTAGCCATTCTGTATCCAAAATTTACTAGCCCGACTAATTCGCATTAGCCAATAGTTAACTCATTGCATGATTAATGAAAGTTGACTTTGGCTTGGTAAGTCATACCTACATGCCAATTAGAAGGTGCAACATTAGAAGCTATAATAGTTTCATGATTTGTGTAGGAAGTGAGCTTGAAAGAAAGAGATTGTCCTGCAAGTGTTGCAAATGCTTGGTATGATGCTCCCCAATTATGGCTCATGCTTATCCACCCTGTTTTGCTTCCCTTCACCCATATGCTTGCCACGTCACCCCCTCCAGCGACGTTCATCACATAAACCAATAACCAGTAACCGTTTCCTTGGAATGCGAATCGAATCCCGCCTTTCTTAATGCAAGGTACCCTACAAAAAGTAACACCATATTAGAGATGCAAGAAATGATACAAGATTAGCTTTAGAGGGACAAAAGTTCAAATATTTAAGAATTTCTTAAAATCACGTGACTCGAACTTTCAACTTTTCATGATGGAGGTGCTCTATTACTAGAGCAACTTACTCGTCCTTAAATTGATTCTTATATCTTTGATTTAGAAAAAGAATAAATAATTTTTATACTATCCCTGTAATTTTACGCATTGTATCAGACATACCTGCGGTACGTAACCGGGACAATGCCAGCTTTCCATTGAGCAATTTTCATGAAAGCAGGTTTAGCCATGTCAAAGTGCTGGCGTGGAGGGTTGCACCAGCCACCATGGTTGGAGTCTTGGGCCCAATTGGGTGGGCAGAGATTTGTGGCTGTAATGGTGGTAAATCCTTTGTAGCAAAATTTAGACTTCACACACTGTATTTGGAAGCATTGCCCACATGAATATCCATTGCTAAATAACACTGTGCTCAATGCTGCAGTTGCTGTTCCATAACCAGAATTGAACAAATTCCCATATCCACAAGCTCCACCTGCAATAACGAGTCGAATTAGTTACTTGAAAAATAAGGTAGGTTACCTGCTACAATAAGTTAAAATTCAATAACTGTCTAAATTAGTTTGGAATCGAGGGATAATTGATTGACTATAGTGTAACACACCCATTGTCTCAGAAGCAGTCTCGTCTCCGTAGAACGTGGCATAAGCAAGCTTCCAAGGCATGGCTTTAAACTTAGGGGTGGTATAGTAACCAGCGGCTATTGCTTGGTGAAAAAGTGCCATTGTCGCAATGAGGAAGAAACTCAATCTCCATCTGCAGTTGAAATATGCCATTGTTGCTTGTTTCTTTTTAGCTCTTTCCTAAGGAATAGAATGTTACACTTCATACAATTTTGTTATGTCTTAATTGACTTGTAATTTAGACCTTCTATATATAGTTTGTGTCTAAGGGCTAATTAGAAATAGAGCCTTCGTGCCCCCACGAACATGTTAGGCTCTTAATTAAGTCAACTGTTTTGTTATTGAATTTATTTGTCTTTATGGCACGTAACCAAACTACAAGGTCTGTTACATTTGCTTTTTAGCAACGTGCGGGCAGGTTTTGTGGTATTTGTACTTGGCCCTTCGTACTGTTTTCTAGGTTCCTTTTTTCTTAATATAGAAATGGTCTAAAATTGTAGGCTGACATTGAACTTAAATTTGATTCTAAATCCTCTGAATTTTGATATGATTAGTTGCATTGGCCATCCGACAAACAACTTCAAGAAATCTTGAAGTGTAGAGGGAATAATTAATTAAATAAAGAATAATAAGAGGAGAAAGTTTGGTATGCATGGATACGTGGCAAGTAGAAGATATATCAACATGTATTAAAAAATATATTAAAAACACATAACAAAGTAAAATCAGAAATATAGAAGAAGCAGAGCCCATTGAATTCACAATGTTTCCTTAAGGAACTTATAAAACGGCCATTTACACAAACTACCAAATTCAAATTCTAACAAGAAAATAAAAAATGGAGTTACAGAAATAGCTGATTTGTATTACGCTAATCTTAATAGTAACAAATAAATTTAGTC